TAAATAATGTTTATAGAAAAAGTATCAAAAGGAGAAACAAATAAAGAAAGAAATGCGTTTAGGCTGGTCAGCAGTGTGGTTTGTGCCAAATTTGAACTGAAATGTTGCATTCAACTGCATGGACAACTGGTCAAACACTCTCTCAACTGAAGCTAAACACAAAATAAACAACAAAAATAACAGACAGAATCTGTGTTTAAAACCTTTTCTTATCACAAATGCTATTTATTGACATCTTTGCTGTTAAATATTTGGATCTCAAAGGACTGTTTTTCTATTTGAAACTTTTTCCTCATGACAGCAGGCGGCTCATTGATGGTAATGGCAATAAAGTCGTTTGTCATAATTCACACTTGTTTGCCTGTTTTAATTGATACACTTTTTATTTGTACTGAATGGAGAATGTTGTAGTCAAATATTCAGATTTACCTAAAAAAAAGTGGAATTTATTTATTTGAGAGTCCTAATATTAGGAGTTTTAATGTGTCTGCTTCAAACCCTTTATAATGTTGTGCTGAATTAGTAATCCAGATGTATGTGCGGCTACATATCAAGAAGGAAGAAGGTCAAGAATTTTGGTGTTATTCTGGAGTCAGATCTGAGTTTCAGCAGTAAGTATATCAGCATACTATCATCTAAAAAAAATTGCAAAAATCTGATTCTTTGTATCCAGTGAAGACTTGAGAAGTGAGAAACTTGTTCATGCTTTTATCAGCAGCAGGGTGGATTACTGTAACGGCCTCCTTACAGCCCTTCCCAAAAAGACAGTGAGACAGTTGCAGCTCATCCAGAACACTGCGGCCAGGATTCTGACCAGAACCAGGAAATCAGAGCACATCACACCTGTCCTCAGGTCTCTACACTGGCTCCCAGTTACATTCAGAATAGAGTTTAAAGTATTATTTCTTGTCTATTAATCACTAAATGGCCTACGACCTCAATACATTACAGATGTGCTCACTGAATACAAACCTAACAGATCACTCAGATCTTTAGGCTCAAATAAACTAGAAATTCCAAGAGTTCAGTCAAAGCAGGATGAATCTGCCTTCAGCTACTGCGCCCCCTGCTGCTGGAATCCGCTTCCAGAAATGGTCAGATGTGCTCCAACATTAGGCACATTCAAATCAAGACTGACAACAAATCTGTTTAGCTGTGCCTTTACTGAATGAGCACAGTGCTACGTCCAACAGGTCGCACTATTATTCCTTTCTTTTCTTTTTCATTCTTTTATAACCTGTTTTAACACATTTTAATATGTTTTAATGATTTTTAATTATTTTAATAATTTTTATTTTGTTTTTCTTTTATTTCTTGTTTATGTAAAGCACTTGGAATTACCATTGTGTATGAAATGTGCTTTATAAACTTGCCTTGCCTTAAGGACAGACTACAAACTACACAGAATCCATATTGTAATCTTTAGTGATTACGCAATATTGTCACTATTCTCAGATATCTTGTCAGAGTCTCAGATTTCAGAAAATCTGTCTCTTTTGTACACACAGATAAGTTCAGTCAATATCAAATGTCAATGAGGACAAAAATAGAATCTCTTAAAAGGCAGAAAACACATTTTACTGAAGCTAGTAAACACATGTGCAATTGTTTGCCTCTTTTTCCACTAGTGTAGAGGTTTACACACGTCAGCATCTGCAGTTCGTTTAGCACAAACACACTCAAATCACGACATTTCTTCTCAAATTCCAGGTGTTTTATATTTTCTTATACAATTATAAATGTGTTTCATTTTACTGTTTTAAAAAAATGATATTTTAAGAACGCTTGAGTGTGGTTTTAGTCAATTTTGATAAGAAATTAACTACATTTGACTGGTGTAAATTCTGGGGAAAGTTTTTGGCACTTTTAAACACACAAACATAAAAAAATATAGATGTAAATGCACAGAAACTATATATTATTGAGATATTGATCCTAAAACTACTTGTTTACATGTGATTTTTATTGTCTTCTATAAAACATTTTAAGTTGAATTTTCTATAAATACTATTAAGCATTTTTAAAATAAATATTACTTTTTAACTCCACTTTAGACATAATCTACCAAGTGTCTTTAAAACTAACTTAAATTACAAAACACAGAGCTCAGCATATATAAGTACACCACTCACAAATATATCTCTTAAATTTTTAAAAAGAAGCTCTACAATTTTATATTTGTGCATATACATTAGATTAGTCAGTACTAAAGCCAAATCTAGAGCTTATCTAACAAAATAACTTATGATAAGGGTCCAAAAACTAGTACAGCTACATTTATATATTATAGAAAAATATTAAGTACAAATTTAAAACAGGAAAAATCAAGAGAAGAAAAAAAAAAAGGAAAAATTAAATATTTTGTAGGTTGTAATTTTTTGCTTGAATTTATTTGTGTCTTTCAATTTCTAAAATGCTCTATGATTAAAATATTATTTTAATAAATATATCTGTTGTTTAATAAATCTGTTTTGTTTCAATGCACCAAAATACATTGCCTATATTAACTAAGAAATGGATTAAAATATTTATTTTCAAAATGGTGTGTACTCAATTATGCTGAGCACTGTAGATTACTATGAATATTTCATTTATCCTCAAAGACTTATACATGGATCAGGAATGTATTATAGCTTTTGCAAAAAAGAGCATAACATGCTAAAAATACAAAATATTACTGTTTTTTAACCATTTATTACTAAAACATTACTTTTTTAAAAACATTGCACAGTTCACTGAGTATAAATAAATAAATATATTAATTAATTAATTTAATAAGCCTGGTAAATATAATAGATGATTGTTTTATAACACTGCAGAGTCACTGAAAATGACTAAATAAATGAATGAATTAAAAAGCATGACAAAAATAACAGATTCTTCAATAGGCTCTATGCACAGCTGGAGTTTTAAAGCCAACAATAAACTTCCGGTGAAAACTTAATCTGACTATTTTCAGTTTTATAAGGCTCATTTTACAGCATTGATGTTATAATGTAATTACAGTACATTCAGTTAAATAGACTTAAGAATTCATTTAGCTGTTCAAGCGTAAAACAGTGTAACCATCAGCAGGCAAGTGCAGAAGTCATATTTTAAAGACATGGTGGGGGGAAAATAATTTAATTCAGTTTTTCTTTTCCGATCTGAGACCCACTTCATATCGTATATCTATCAGGCAGTGAAGATGGCTGATATTTTTAAAAATCACATCTTAAACGTGACGATATTGTAATGTAAAACATGTTGGCGTGGGTTTCCTCCGGGTGCTCCGGTTTCCCCCACAAGTCCAAAGACAACCGCTATAGGTGAATTGGGTAAGCTAAATTGTTCGTAGTGTATGTGTGTGAATGAGAGTGTATGGGTGTTTTCCAGTCATGGGATGCAGCTGGAAGGGCATCCGCTGCATAAAACATATGCTGGATAAGTTGGCGGTTCATTCCGCTGTGGCGACCGCAGATTAATAAAGAGACTAAGCTGAAAAGAAAATGAATTAATAATAATAATAATAATGATGAGGATGATGAAGATGGTGGAGATAAACTCAAAATTAACTAAAACTAAACAAAAAAACTAAACTAAACTAAAACAAACTAAACATTTAAAAAGATATTTGTTGCTTTTTCGAACTACTTAAAATAGGCCTAAACAACACAATTCTTGAGATATTTTTGTGAAAATGTTATTGTTTTATGGTAAATCCACTAAAATTTGCTAAGTTAACTCAACTTGATTTGTGTTCGGACAACATTGTGTGGAACCCTGCATTCTTTTTACAGCAATGGTCTCAGACTCAAATCCTGGAGGGCCGCAGCTTTGCATAGTTTAGCTCCAACTCAAATCTGCTTAATAGTCTCTAGTGATGCATTCCAGTTCGCATACTATCCGTCCTACATAGTATTTGTATATAGAATTAGCATATCCCAAATTGTAATAGGTTGAAAAGAGTATGCCAAAGGTTCCCAGTTGATTTACTATTTATTTTTACTATTTAAATATTTAAGTGTAGAACACCATACTCGAACCGCTGATATTGCCCACAATACATTGCACATTGGATGTGAATTTGATATGAACCACAAGCAAATGTGTAAATAAACTACAAACATGGTGTACGTGGGAGACCAACAGTCAAGTAGAGGCTTAGATAAAGATGTTTGAATGACTGTTAATTAATAACTAGCCCACTGGAAAATATTAAAATTGTGTTTTCCGTGTTATTCTTCATCTGCAACAACAATACTGAACTTATATAAAGGCATGTTTGGACATTAACGTCTGAATGCAGAATTATCCAAAGACCTGAGGAGATTTCTCTGCATGAGAGACTCGTGAATGGGAGATTAACCTGCTGCTGCTTCTCCAATAAGGTAGGAAATTAAATATGACAAAAGTGTTGATGATTGATGGGGCTCATAACTAAGCAACCTAATGATCTGTTAACGAGGAACTAGTATGTCCCAAAGCTTGCAAACTCTTCTGTTACACAACTATTTTTCCTTAACAAAAAAGTACATACTTATAGGGCGTAGTACAAGTATGCAAATTGGGAGGCAGCATAGTTTGACCACCTTGATTATTTGGATCAGCTGTGTTTGATTAGGGTTGGAGCAAAGCTGTGCATAGCTGCGGGAATCCAGCTGAGACCTATGATTTACAGTGTAGTTAAATAGATAAAATTAATCCATTGTACAATTGAACAACTTACAGTTTTACATTTAACAATATTTTAATTTGTAAGCCAAAATGGATCATGGACAGGTTTTAGAAAAGCGAATTATTAGTATTATTATTATGTCTCAGGAATCAGTGAGCTAACTTTTACAGCATTTTATTTAAGCCCTGCTTCGTTGCCTGTCAATTTATTTTAAAAGATGCACACTTTGCCAAATTTATGCCTTATATTTTACTTCCCAGCGCGCAGTGTTTTATCTGAAGCTCTCTCTCTCTGTATGTGTGAGTGTGTGTCTGGGCGTGGCCATGGGCTGTGATGTACAGGCTTTATTCTGGCTGTTTTCCGCGACCCGCTTGAATAGCCATGTGTTGCGCTAGCAGCGCCTCAGAATCACTTGCTCCTGCAACATGTACCACAAGACACGCGCGCAAACCGCTCTAAACAGCATCCCCCAACTATAAAACAACTCCGAAATCACGGTAAGTACATTTAAATGCCAGACAAAAAGTAGAAAGAACTTTCTACTTGTCAGTCTGAACTTCAATCAACCTGTCAGGAAGGAAACGACATCTTTCTCGAACAATTCCCTCAGGGGAGTGAATGCAAATAACGCCGTTTTTTGTGCGCCAACAGATGGCCGTGATGGCGAACCACAAACTTTGGAGAGCCGTGGATTATTTTGGAGCGCTTCTTTTGTCACTGGATGAGCAGCACCGGGTGACAGACAGACTCATGGCATCTTAAGTGAAGTGAGCAGTAATGGATTCGCTCTACATCGCCATTGAGCTGGTGATCGCGGTGCTGTCCATCGCCGGTAATGTGCTGGTGTGCTGGGCAGTGGCCATCAACTCTACGCTCAAGAACGCCACCAATTACTTTCTGGTGTCGCTGGCCGTGGCTGACATTCTGGTCGGCTGCCTTGCCATCCCCTTTGCCATCACTATAAGCATCGGTCTGTGGTCAGACTTTTACGGATGCCTTTTCCTGGCCTGTTTCGTTCTGGTACTGACTCAAAGTTCAATATTTAGTCTTCTAGCGGTTGCCATAGACAGATATCTGGCGGTCAAAATCCCCCTGAGGTGAGTCTTTCTCGCTTTATTAGTGTGGCTTTCATGTTTTGTTTTTTCGAATTTGTATTTCACTCAATGATTCATATCTGTGATTTAAGAGTCAAAGTGGTCAAAAGCCGTATATATACACACTGTACAAACAGCTGTCTTGAAAAAAGCTTTGACATTTACGCGCGCGTGCACGACATTCCGCGCATGACACCGTGAACCTGTTCTTCGACGTCTTCTGTCTTTTAGCAGTATTGTATAAATTATCAGATAGTACAAGATTACATTAATGTGTTAACTCGTAATCTTTATCTAGCACCTTTTCTCCAAGACTGTTATTCTTTGAGATCGAGCAGTAATCTGGGATCAATATGATGCTCTCTGTTGCAACTCGTTCGAAGTTCAATCTAGTTTAATCCTCAAAACGCGTTCAAAATATAAAAGTCAGCGTTCAATGTTTTCATACTGATGCTATTTATATTTCATATTAGTTTTTTCATTAATGAGTGACTATACCATGGTATTACTCCATTTAGCCCTATTAATTGATAAATTCAGAAAAGTACACTAAAAATTCTGGGTTCCACAATTCCTTCATGTTGTCCCAACACAAATCTATTAAGTTCCTTTATCGATTTTTACAAATTTAAGTGGTACAAAACAACTAAAGTTATCCCCCTAAAAATACCTCAAGAATTGTGTTGTGTTATTAAGTAATTTAAACAAGCAGCAGGAGTTAATTTTGAGTGCAGTTAACTTTCTTTGATTATTACTGCACTGTAAAAAATCTTGGTTGCCTTAAATTTTTTAAGCTGAATCAAATTAATTATGAGTCTATCAAATTAATCAAGAGTATATCATGTTAAACTGACCTAAAATTAAGTTAGAACATGATTAACTTAGATTAACAAGTTACAATGAACTACAAACATATACTGTCATAACTAATTGTTTATATAATTGTTTACTCAACAAACAATTCAGTAAACCTGTATTGTTCATTAACAACATGCTTATTATTATGAAAAAACTCAAATAAATTAATTCAAATGTGAGATTTGAAAACACATTTACTTTCAGATGCAATAAAAAGTGTAAATGCTGAAATGGGTTGCTAGTAGTATGCAGTTGTGTTCAGATTTATCAACACAATTCTATCCCAGGAGGGATTGTATATATGTATATACAGTTGAAGTCAAAATGTTTAGCCCCCCTTTGAATTATTTTTTCTTTTTTAAATATTTCCCAAATAATGTTTAACAGAGCAAGGAAATTTTCACAGTATGTCTGACAAAACTTTTTCTTTTGGAGAAAGTCTTATTAGCCCATTTAAGCTATGCTTTTTCTCGATAGTCTACAGAACAAACCATCATTATACAATAGCTTGCCTAATTACCCTAACCAACCTAATTAACCTAGTTAAGCCTTTAGATGTCACTTTAGGCTGTATAGAAGTGTCTTGAAACTTATCTAGTCATATATTATGTACTGTCATCATGGCAAAGAAAAAATAAATCAGTTATTAAAAATGAGTTTTTAAAACTATTATGTTTAGAAATGTGTTAAGAAAATCTTCTCTCCGTTAAACAGAAACTGGGGAAAAAATAAACAGGGGGCTAATAATTCTGACATAAACTGTATATATAAATAAACTTTCAAAACTCATCTGTTTATGCAAAGATTGACATTAATTCCAGCCTGTGCTTTTAATATATGTTAAAGCTTCAAAATTCAACTCTAACTGCATTCCTTTTGTTTAATATAATTATAACTTCGCCTATATTTAATCCACAACACAACTCAAGTGTAAACTAGGTTACTCATCTGGCTTAAAGATATCTCAGTCACTCCTTCTAGATAAAATAAACCACTCAATCACTTCAGGTGACAAGATTGTTAAAGAATCTATTTAATTTGTCCAAAACTTTTTTGGTAAATGAAGATTATTTGCATAGTGGTATTTCAGAGTATATCCCGCTGTCTGTGTGTGTGTGTGCGAGGTGCTGAAGCATCATTCATATTCTTGACCCTTCTAAATATGGTCAAAACCAACTTTTCATTCTAGCGGTAGTTCCTCTATTTATAAATGAGCATAGAAAACCAATGCTGGAGAACTGTTGAACTTACCCAAATCACTATCTACTATGTAGATATCAATTTAGCGAACAATTAAACATAATGAATGTACTCTATGGCACCTTTATTATGAGGTTTTACTATATGCATTAAAATAAGTGGATGGAAATATACAGTGCTCAGCATAATTGAGTACACCCCATTTTAAAAATTAATATGTTCATCCATTTAATTTCCATCCATCTGCGTGAATATAGGCAATGTATTTTGGTGCATTTAAACAAAACAGATTTATTAAACAGATATATTTATTAAAATAATAATAATAATAATAATAACAATAATAATAATAATAATAATATATAAGTTTATTTTTTATAACATAAATTTGGGTGTACTACAATTTTTGAACTGTTTTCGTAAGTTATTCTGTTAGATAACCTACAGATTTGGCTGCAATACTAACTAATCTAATGTATATGTACAAATATAATATTGTATAGCTTCCTATTAAAAATATGAATTAAAGATAATTAAGATAAAGTTAATTTGCCAGGGGTGTATTTATATATGCTGAGCACTGTATGTATAATATATATATAATATATATAATATATATAATATATATTTATATATATATATATAATATATATTTATATATATATATATATATATATATATATATATATATATATATATATATATATATAAATAAAACACACACACACATACATACTTACATGCATACAGTATAGCCACATACAAACACTAAAATACTCGGCATAGCTCAAGACAACACACATGCAGTCACAGTACAGAAGCTAAACCTGGCTTCCTGACTTGTATATATCTCCCTGATTATCTTAATCGGTGTTAATCTGTTAAGCTCAGGAGGGCGATTCAAAGAATGGTGTTTGTTGTCAAAGAAAGCCCTGACGATGAAGGACAGAGCAATGACAACAAACCTTAAGGATTAAGAATAAACCGTTTGCTCAGAGAAACGGAGAACATGGGGAGTTATATAATGTATATACATTTGTTTTTATCCTTGCAGTGTACTAGATTTGTCTTCATGACTTGTGACATGATCGAACTCTACAGTTCAACCAAGTGACTTTTATTGACATTTTAGTCAATAATATAATGAATAAGAAATAATATATAGAGGTATAAATCTGTAAAATAAGAGAAAATGTACTGGCAGTCCATTACAAGGTTTTTGTAACATAATATACAACAACAACACAGACAAATCACTTTAAACTATTAAAATTGTTCAAGTCACTTTTTTAAACATTTTAATGGTTAAAAGTTGTCAGAAGAAAGATCCAGGGCTCCATTCTTCGTACCTCGCTTAAATGATCTAAGATGATTTGGCAGATCCTGGATCTTTTAATATTGATAACTGATCTCTCGCTAATTTGGTTCTTCAAACAAGTTCGCGAATCAGATTAGAATGTCTGTATAAACTGATCTGAGATCGCGTTGTGTGTTGTGAAGGACAGATCTATCGATCTTTGAAATCATGATTAGCAGTGCAGCGATTGGCTGACGGCACAGCAGCGTAATGACATCATCTGATTAATATTCAATTATCCATGTGAGCAAAATTACATCAAATTAGCAGGAAACGGTTTGCTAAATATGATACGCAATAACCTTCCACATTTGTTGTGAGCTGGAGGCTGTACACTTTCATGTGTCAAGAGTATTCATCATGTATTTAGTTCTACATTTAGAAAAGATTTTCTTTATTATAATAGCCGATAATAGATATTTTTTTAATCGCTGTATGGAATAACTGGATGTTTACAAAATCACTTTTGATAAAGGTGTCTGCAACTTTTGTGAAGCATAATCACTGGCATATTAACTGTCAAAACATGTTTATGACTGCATTAATGTATTATTTCTTTTTTTTAAAAGTCACATATTCTGCATTATTATTATCATACACAAATTGTACTAAAGCGATAAAAGCGAAATGTTCATATCAATAAGTTTTCTCTTTGCACCACCAGGTGGCAGTCTTTGTACTTTCATTTCGGGGGTGCAGATTGCATAAGTTTTATTAATATATAACTTTATTTATTTTATTAATAACTTTATATATATAGTTAAAAATATTTACTATTTTCCCAAGTGTATATAACTACTACTGTAAGAAAATATCAGAATTCGGTACATGCTTTCTCTATTATCTTTGCTTGAACTGAGCCGATGTAATCCTGTTTATATGAATTGAACCTGCTCCCGATCAGGTTTGAGCTAGCAGAACTGTTGCTATGACAACAACTCTCGGATCAGCTTTGAAGAACAAAACGATCCTGGATCGTGTCAAATCGTCAATATCCAAATTCAGCAAACTAAGTAATCCACGTCTGAAGAACGGACTCCAGGTCTCATAATGTGATTCAAAAGCATGAATAAATGGGGAAAAATAAAAAAAACATGAATCACAAAATACAGAAAACTGCCTTGTAAAACAAGATTGTTATCTTCTAGAGTGACATCTTGTTTCACTGCTGGTCAGTGCCTCTTTTGCAGTCATATTACATTAGAAATCATTGGAAATCATCTATAGATTGGTACAGAAAGCAAGCGTGTTTGTCCTAGTAATTTCTTGCATCCTCAGTCCATGTTTCATGCCACGCATTTGCCGTAGCATGCCTGTGAAACTGAACATGTTGGCCTCAGGTTTCATTCCCACAGCCAACAAGTGTGTTAAGTCCTGCAGGAATGCAGTTTCTGTGTATTTGCAGAGTTTGATGAAAGTTCTGGAATAAGGAAACACATTCAGATGGCGATTCTAACGTTCAAGAATTGCAGCGCTCAGTTCTGGGTGGTCATGTTACACTCGCTGGTCCATGTCCAAGCTGAACGTATGTTTCTAGTTATGCGCCATTTACTGGAAACTCAGACTTGCTGTTAGTATGGATCCAAGT